CTTCTTCTTCTTCTTCTTCTTCAAATAAGTGACACTTGCCAACTTCTTAAGAAGGATCTTCTGGTTTTGTAATAAAATCAGAGTCATGGAGTTGCGAAACATACATGTTCGACCGCGATTTCTACTACGTCCACCGTATGTTCTACAACAGGGTAGTGCGGATCGGTGACTTGCATTGATTATAGCAAAAGTAGATTTTCCTGTCACCTTCCTTACTCTTTCTTTCCTCACCCACCCTGTGTCAAGACAGTCAAGAAGATCGATGCGAGACATATTGTCCATCTAGTACTTGCTCCGTAATTTTGAATAATTAGCTGTTTCGCCCCCCACTGTTTCACACTTTTAGTCTATTTGGCCGCGCAATTTACGGTCGAACTTGTGTTAGCTGCATACTCTAAGTTCCGCGTTTGAATTTAGTTTGAACACTGACTTTTTCACCCCTGGTCACAAAAACGCCGGTATCTTGCAGGAGTTTCAGCTCAGATAATTGTTTTGTTTCCTTGCCAATTAGTGGCCCTTCGTAGTTTTGCAGCGTCTAACTTGAGTTTCTGTCAGTGCAAGAAATTGGCAGAGAGCCCCGGGCTGCGTCTCACCGCCTTACGAGTAGTAATTCACACTTCTGTAGAGCTTATTTCCATGTAACGATCATACCCTACGTAATTCATACTTGATTGCCGTCGTTTTAGTTACTTTGTTATCAGTAAAGTCTAAAGGACTGGCATGCCAATGTCACGAGGGTCCAACACGTCGAGCAGTACTCAGTTGCGCGCCTGCAAATAATTTCCAATCCGGTCATAAAGTCATGTTATTTCCCCTCTCATTCCTTTTGCTAGATGTCGGAAGAGGAGACGCTTAACGCTGTGCTTGAGCGGCTGGTCAAAGTCCGGCGCGAGGGCACCCAAAGAGCTGTCGAACTATACCAAAAACGCTTAGAGGCCACGAAGTCTGAGCTAGCAAGTGTAACATGCTCCATCTATCTCTTGCCCCCATAGTTTTCTTCGACGAGTGTCCCCTGTGAAGCATCTTTCTCGAATTTACAGCTGCCCACTATATCTGTTGAGGCATACCCTTTTGTGTCGTCTGACATCTTCCAACAAGTGAGTGAGCATATTTAAGTTATTTCCTTCTAGAACGAGTCCTTCTTCAGAGACACAATGGAAGCAGGACGCAAAATTGGCGAATGACACCCTCACAATGGCTACTTCAGAGTGGAATGTGCTAGATCATCATCTCCATGTTAACATATTTTGACAATACCTAAACTGTTCGACTTCTAACGCTGCCTGTCTGTGTTCTTCCTTTGCTTTGATTGCTAAATTTTGTCGTCTAGCGCCGAAGCAGCGACGGTAAAAGAAATTTAGGGGGCACACCTTGCACGAATTTCGACTTGCCATGCGCCGTTCCTGTTGCTATTTTAGTGTTTGCACTGAAAGCATTACAACCATGAGGCGAAAATCCCAAGTTTCAGTTAAAAGGCCCCTGTGTGAGGGATTTATTGTACACAGAACGCTGAGTTGCTCTCTCAGGCTGTGATACCTGACAAAGCCAGGGTTGACGTTGACTGCGTCCACTTAGACATAAGAGTGCGTGCGTTTTTGTGTGAGATAGATGACAGCTGCTTTTGCATGATTGTGGAGAAAGTTCAAATAGCGTGTCGTTCTACCCGAGGTGTCCGGTATAGTGGCCCATGCTGCATCGGCTGAAGAGGTGGTGTGTTCAAGTGGCTCTTCGACAGGCGTGATTATTTGTGTGCGCTTCTATGCGCGCGTGGAAGTCGGTCAAGGGTTTTTAGGTCAGCGAGTCGGAAATCGCTCGCTGCAAAGTTGCGTGACCTCAATGCAGTGGACATTGAACAAGTCGGACAACATTGTTGACTGCCTGCCAAACTATTACTGGCCCGCGAACACTCACTCGACGGACGCAAGTTTACTTATTTCACAAGACAGCTTTACTGAGGACTGGACGGGTTGCCAGCCGCCAAGTTAACG